CTCCCTTCCTTCCTTTCGTCTGTTTTTCTCTCTCTCTCCCCCCTCCCTTCCACTCTCTCTCTGAAATGCAATGGAAAAAAATATCCTCAGGTGAGGATTAACCAAAAAATAAGAAAAACAATACCAAAGAACAATGAAACCAAGAGCTAGCTCTTGAAAAGATAAATAAAACTGATAAAACTTTAACAAGAAATCAAGAAAAAAGACAGAAAACTCACATAATTAAAGTCAGGGATAAAACAGAAGTGACAACTGACACTACAGAAATACAAAAAATTATAACAAAGTACTACGAACAACTATATGCCAACAAATTAGACAATGTGGAAGAAATGGATAAATTCCTAGAAACATAACAATCTTCCAAGATGGAATCAACAAGAAACAAAAAATCTTTAACAGACCGATAACTACCAACAAAATCGAATCAGTGATCAAAAACTCCCAACAAACAAAAGTCCTCACAGGTACACTCTACTAATATTCAAATAAGAATTAATACCTATCCTTCTCAAATTATTCCCAAAAATTCAAGAGAAGGGAAGACTCTCAAGCTCATTTTACAAGGCGAGCATTATCCTCCTTCCAAAACCAGGCAAAGACATTACAAAGAAAAAAAAATTTTAGGGCAATATCCATGATGACACAGATGCAAAATCCCTCAACAAAAATATTAGCAAACCAAATGCAGCAATACATTAAAAAGGTCATGCACCATGATCAAATGGGACTTATTCCTGGCATGCAAGTATGGTTCAATATCCACAAATCAATTAAGGTGATACACCACATAAACAAAATAAAAGATAAAAATTATATAATCATATCAAACAACACTTGAAAAAAAACCCACCATTCGTTTATGATTAAAACTCCCACAAAAGTGGGGATAGAAGGAACACACCTCAACATAATAAAGGCTACATATGACAAACCAACAGCTAAAATCACATTCAGCAGTGAAAAACTAAAAATGTTTCCCTTAAGATCAGAAACAAGACAGGAATGTCCACTTTCACCACTCATTCAACATAGTAGTGGAAGTCCTAACCATAGCAGTCACACAGTAGAAGAAATAAAAGGCACCCAAACTGGAAAGAAAAAATTAACACTGTCATTATTTGAAGATGTCATGATACTATATATAGGGAACCCTAAATATTCCACATAGAAAATTAGAACTGATAAATGAATTGAGTAAAGTAGCAGGATATAAAATGAATATTCAGAAATTGATTTCTTTTTTATACACTGATAATGAACTATCAGAAAGAGAAATTAGGAAAGCAAACCCATTTACAATTGCATCAAAAATAAAGTACCTAGGAATACATTTAACCAAAGAAATAAAGCCTGTACTCAGAAAATTATAAGACACTGAAGAAAGAAAATGAAGAAGACACAAATAAATGGAAGTATATGCCATGCTCATGAACAGGAAGAATTAACATCATTAAAGTGTCCATAATATCAAAATCAATCTACAGATTTAATGCAATCCCTATTAAAATACCAGTGGCATTTGTCACAGAACTAAAACAAATAATTCTAAAATTCATACGGAATCACAAAAGACCCAATATAGCCAAAGCAATCTTCAGAAAGAACAAAGTTGGAGGTACCACACCATCTGATATCAAACTATACTACATGCCTATAGTACTCAAACCAGCATGGTA